CTCATAAACCAGGTGATAGAGTATGGGTAACGTCACATCCTATTTGCAGACCAAGGAAACATATTTCTGGCTCTTCGCCGAGATGCTGTATGAGCCAGAGGGGGAGTCTGTAACCTCACGGCTCAATGAGTGCCACCTAGTGACCACCGGAAGAAACACCAGCAAAAAAAAAAAAAAAAAAAAAAAAAAAAAAAAAACTATAGTCTTCAGTTGATGTACTGGAGTCACAAACTGAGCTTGGTGTCCCCCCGAGATGCAATTTCCCCGAGATTTACTTTGTACCATAAATGTGTAATTATAACACCCTTAACTGTAATGTTTTATCTTAATTGTGTTTTGTTAATTAAAACTATTTTAAAAGGTCAGGTGAGTCTTTTGTTTATGTTAGTTTTGGTTATAGTCATAGCTTTCTAGACCTTCCCCTAAAAAACGTGCAAGGATACATAATACACATTAAAGTAGCATATCAATTATACATACTACAGCACTTCTGAATAAAGTAAAGTAAAAAAAAAATAATAATTATGCTCATAATAAATATGGCCGTTAATTAGGAGAAAACATACAAGAGAATTGTGAAGAACTTTCTAAGCAAAACTAGCTCATATTTACATGATATAGAAGTATAGGTAAAAGTAGAAGGGGGGCAGCAGAAATTCATCATCACAAAAGGGGTTGGAATCGCATAGTTAGTCCTGCCATACTTATTATGCAATTTCATCCCAATTTTGAGGGGGACCACCCCAGAAGGCAGTTTAAGTGTCTCCTACCCATCTTCCTATACAATTACATGACACAGAAAAAAACCACAAAAGGCTCCTAGGAAATTTATTTTGATTTGAACCAAGGTTATAACAGAACCAATAACCAATAACAATAAATGTATCAATACAATTAGCTCTGAAAGACACAGTGACACAGGGTTCATAGCCACATTTTAGTTAAAAAAATAAGCACCTATAAGCACTTTTCAAGCACATTTTAAGAAAAAAAAAAAAAATAAGCACCTGTCTAATTACATCATACACAACTGCATAACCTTAAAAATTAGACTTGTAATTTAAAATATGAAAATATTTTAAAAATATTTTAATATTTGTAATTTAAAATATGAAATGCAGTATTTATTAAGAGAGAATAAGCATTACCTCAACCATGGAAAATAATTACTTTTTTTTTTTAATTTTAAATAACAGTTCAATTTACAGAACTAGTTTACAATGAGAGGGAAAAAAAACTATGCAGAACTAAACTATATTACAAGATTTAATGATGAAATTTCAGTTCAAAATAGAGAAAATAAATAATAATAAGGCCATATTTATTGTATTCACTTGGAACCTAATAATAAATAATATTTTTATTTTCCACTCATATTAATATTTAAATAATTTAAATCTAAATTCTGAACATTTTCTAAATTATCATTGTATATCAGTTTTCCCTTAACAGATATTGCAAGCAAAGTAATATTAAGTAAAAAAGAGGAACATTTCTTTCTGAAATCAGAAGACAGAAATTTGCTTCATGCAGTCATCCTTTAACAGTAAAAGCTTAACTACCCGAATACTTGAAATTTGGCGAAATATTCGGGCAAGTCGAGCGCAACTTGAAAAAGAGGAGTGGGGGGGAAGGGTAGACTGTAGCCGTTCTTTAGATTTTTCCGCTAAATAAATGCTTTTGACATTTCGATATGTATATCATATAAAAATAAACCAATGAAACTGAAAAATATTCTGCTTAGCAAGCACAGTAAAAATCTTTTAAGTGTTCCTAAACAAACTGAACATCAAAATTAATTATCTCTGCAAAATGTCGCAAACGTTATTGTGCAATACATGTGCCGCAATTCTTCCCTACGTGATTATTACGCTATCGGAATCAACAGCTGCCGGTATTGGAGAATAAAGAACTAAATAACTGGGGTGTTTTTCATTCTAATTTTCAACAGACGGCGTTAAATTTCCGGAATAGAATCATTCTTCGCTTGGGTTGGTAGACCGCAGAAATTTTAGTCCTATTCAATCCAGATTGGAAAGTGACAAAAAAAAAAAAAAAAGTCTGTTGCTTGTTTTGCAGCGAACTGTAACAGTTTCAATATTCGAGATTTTGCGGAGAAAGGGGAGAACCTTCCAATCTCCGTACTGTATAATGTATTGGCCAAAAAAACAAAATTATTTTGACTGCTCGATTACTTTCCTTTTATATAAGCCATTCCGAATATTATTCCTTAGAAAGCTAATCTGTGTTAAAACACAACCATTTTTGAAAGTTTACTATACTTCAGCAGTTACTGCAACTACGTTATTATAAACATTCATACATATGCTCATAATATAAGCATAACGATCATAATAAACAGGAATATGAACTGACCAAGCGGACCGAGAATGCAAATTATTAAGATCTTGATAGAAATTCAAACGTGTGTAGCATATGGGTGGGAGGAAAGGAATGCCGAATGTACCGGAATTTTCTACTGCTTTCGCATTTCGTTGACCAATAGAACGACGGGCACCTGTCTGTACTCTTCGTGCACACCAAAGGTTATGTTAATGCAGAGAAAGGGGAAAAGCTATTTCCGGGAGTATGATTCACCATCTGACATTCCATATTAGGAAGAAAAGTTGTTTATTTAGTTTCGGCTTTGGTACCGGGAAAAACAGCGTGTTCATAAAAAAAAAAAAAAAAAAAAAAAGCACTAAAAGCAAAAAATAAGCACTAAAAACAAAAATAAGGGCTTTAAAGAAAAAAGTAAGCACCTGTAAGGGCCTTTATATTTTATTTTCAAATATAAGGACTTATAAGGACTGCTACGAACCCTGTGACACAAGTCAAACTTTATTTTACTAGGCAACCAGTTCTTGCTACGTCACAGAAACTGGTATAAGAATTTTGTCAAAGTATTCCAACTGTCAGGGGTGTAGCTAGAGGGGGGCAAGGGGGACATCTGTCTGTGGGCGCACAATCCAAGGGGCACCAAACTGATGTTACGACATTTTAGAATTAAATGTTTTCCATCCTTGGCAAGCAGTAGGGGGCACGAAATCTTCAGTTGTCCCTGGGAGCTGAAAACCCTAGCTATGACTCTGCCAACTGTTCAACTTTATGGCAAGTTGATATAAAACTGATTGATTACAACAAAAGAAACATAAACTGACATTCAATCAATAATTTGACTCAGCTGCACATGCAACTTTACTTCTTCCATTTGTCTCTGTTCCACAGCTATGAAAAAAGTTAACAATTTTTATGCCTTAGAACTATGGCAAATAAACCATCATGTTAATGCTCCTTAATAACAAGAGATATGCTTGTTGTTGAGATAAATATAACTAATCACAATGATTAAAAGATATTTATCAATAACATTTCTTCTTGAAATCATTTGTAATTATATTCTGCCCTTCTATATCTTAAGAAGCAGACACATTAGTCAAATATAACTGCTATTCTATCCCCATTAGAAATTTTATGCTTTCATCAAAATCTGATCATAAGCCAACAGATCATAAGATGAGATAATACACTCATCATTGTTTCTGGCCACAAAAAGTAAACTCCTTTAAATTTATGGTTAATATGAATAAAAGCTGAAATTCCAAAAAGGTTAGTTAAGAAGAAATTCTAATTTGAACTGGCTGTTTAATAATTTAGGATGCTTTTTTTCCAGTTATTTAATTTTTAACAATTGCTATTTAATTACTTGAAATATGATATCTATTTCTATTACCAACTGTCTACATATATGTCATATGCTCACATATAGCTTGATGAGATGTTAAATCGATTTTCAGCATCGATCTATTAATTATGCAATCATTTCTATATTTCTTCTACATATTATGATCTTAATTTCTTTTTGAACAAGATTTTCAAACAGAAATCTACATTGTTTCATCATATTTAACAACTCATTTTCAATGAAAATTCCATACATAGCTTTAATGGTATCTACTTGAAAGTACCTGACACAGTATCAAAATGGTATTATATTATATTTTTTAAAAAATGGCAACATGAAGGAACAAATCAGAAAAACCTTTATAGTACTAAATTATTTGATAACTTAAATGTTATTTACGCCTGTGACAACTATGTAGATATTCGCTATTGTGAAACCTGATATGAATTATCTAAAATGCAAGATTGCCATTTTGTCTTGCTCATGAAATAGCCTGAAATGGTTCTTAATATTGAATCATATCACTGAATCAATCTGAACTAAATCATATCATATATAGAATCAATCTGAGCTAAATCATATCAAACTACAAGGAAGACAAAATTTTAAAGATCCTTATGATAAAAGACCTGCTAAACAGGAAAGCAGAACATTAACCATGCCATTAAAAAAATGGAAGATTATTTACTAAGGAATGAATGAGAATGTTACTAAAGTTATGCGAATATTTTGCTGTTTTCATTCCTAGGCCTCTTTCAGTACTCTTACAACTTAGTCACAAAATCTTGAATCAATACAACAAAATAATTAGCATAAATTTATCATTTCTTTTAAATGCTAGCTTTCAATGCATTTTATTTGCTTTTCATACACTGTTAATAAGTTAGTTATGCTATATTATTGCTGAATTTATATGCTGATTATCTAATAAATATTTAAAAACTATGATGCTACTTATAATGCTCATAAAATTTTTGCTGTACATTTAAGAAATACTAAATTAATTTATTAGAAGTCCAACATTTCCAAATTTATTTATCTGATGGGTACTCAAGGTCTTTTATATCCCAAGTATATCAAACTAAACACACAATACACTTGATAATCCTGACTTTATCAGCAAAATCTCAGAATACAAGGTCAGAATGGGTAGAGAAATATATTGTAAAAACAGCTAAACTGAAATACTTTATTGGAATATCCGAATTCGTTACAGATCTTGATAACAATGTTATCGAGCTAAAAATACATTCTGTACACTAATGACTGCGTTCAATTATTATAATATCAGTAACAGGATGACATTTGAATTTACCTTTATTAACGACTTCCCAAGAAATTTCAAATACCCATCGATTTTCCGATTCGGCGGTGGCTCCTCGATCTAAAACACTATCTTCAACACCTTCCGGACGATAAAAACGTTTAGCGAGCCTTGATGACATGTTACCCCTTCTAGTCCACTTCTGGTCACCCGCTTCAGATACTATTTTCTTAACGTGCAGTCTGCTAAGAGCATCACTACGCACGCTCCACCACGTGCGAAAACCTTGAATGAAAACCGATTGTAAACAAGGTGACCTTATTTTCTCGTACGGTCTCAAATAATTATAATTTTTAAATCAGCAAAATATTGCTAAAATTCACTTGTTATTGAGGAAAAAAAAACTGTCTAGGGCATAGTCTTTAAATATAAATCAAGTATTGTTTAAGTAACCAATTTTTCCCATATTTAGGTGTAAAAAATTGTAATAAAAAAGACATAATTGTATTAAACGTAATTTTAATTGAAGCATTTTTGTTTTACATAACTAGTATTAGATATGTACTTATTTTTGTACTATTACAAAAATAATAAACGATAATTAGAAAAATCTATCGCCCACATCAGGAACAAGTTTTTGGCAAATCGCCAAAACGCGCGTAAATTAGTTTGAAATGATCTTGAAGGATTGGCGTGTTCAAAATATAATTTCGTAACTTGTAGAAACTCTGGATTTGGGGATTTTATCTTAGGAATTTGTTAATTATTAAGAAATGTTTTCATTAGATTTTAATCTCTTCGAACTTGAAGAAAATGAAATTCAATTTAGAGAAATATGCCAAGACTTAAAAAATAATTCCATTTCGTCTCCATGGAAAATGTGTTTCAAACGTGATGAAAGTAATATTTATTTTGTAACAGAAATAAGTGAATTTTCTTTGCAGGGTTTTAAAAACGCTGCTCGAACAATATCATCAGGAATTGGTGCATCTGAGACAGAATTTAGTAATGAACATGCTATTAATATGGAAGCTGAATCAAACCAGTCCTCAGCTAGAGAAGAAATTCTTAAAGACGAAGTAATAACTCTCTCTTTATATAAATTATGTATATATATGTCTTTATATTTGTAAAATATGTACATGTATATATTATTTAAATAATGTACTTCTTATGCTAAAGTTAAATTATTTTAATTATTCACAGTTTCACATACTGAATTCTTTTTTTACTTATTTCTAATACGAATATCACTGATTCTATATTATCCTGGCTCAGAGAAATACAGGCTAAGTACAAGGATGTGAGGGTCTTGCTATTGCAAAAGTCTTTTTTTAATTTACAGTTTAAGAGCATTCTGAGTTGTTGCCTTGTCTAAAACAGTTTGTAAACTGAATTAGTCACACAGTCTTAAATTTTTGGTTGCATTTTACACTATCCGATTAATTTTAGCTGAAACGATATTAGAAGTGTGACAGGATGATTGGTTTGTCATACTTTGTGAAATCAAAAGGCTTTGGTGACAGACACAATGTGAATCACTAAAATACCTTGACACTGGTCATGAAGTTATGATTCATATAATGTCAGGTGGAGCGATAACTGAATGAATTATTTAATTTACGGTGTCAGAGTCTGTCATGTCACACCTCGTAATTGCCCGAATACTGCAACCTTTAAGAGAAATGCACCCTTGAGTTTCGGCTAGATTGGAGATTACGGGGTGTGGTCCGCCGCAGTTTTAATGTAATGAAACAGGCACAGCTTTTGCTACAGATGTCACTTCCACTACTCATGGATACTTAAAGTAGCATAACAAAGTTTAATTTTAGTGTAGAATTATAATCTAAGACTACACATAAAATAGACTCAGCCAGCAAAATCCTAAAGCTGGGTTCGTGTATACGAGCCAATTTCCCTGAAAAAGCCCTCCACGAAGGCATCCCTCCCTTAAGGCAGATAGTCTTCGAGTGCTTTGCCGTAATCTAATAAACCAAACCAAACCTAATGCTGGAATATAACTTTCCATTCCAACAAAAATACATATATATTTCAGATTACATATATATATTACATATATATACATACATATTCTGAATATATACATATCTATTCAGAGTTTTTAGCTGTTTAAATGAAACAGATTTTGACCTCTACCAATGCGAAAGAGTTTAAAGCAATGCTTGTATAAGTGTATGTGTGCAGTTTGATAGGCCTCAATGTTTGTTTCTCGCCAAGGTTTTTGCAAAAGATAAGTACCAAAAGCTGTCAACTAAAGATTCAAAACTCTCAGTTTAAATGCGCAAAAACATAATTTGCAGTTTGGTGAGGAATATGGAAAAGGAGAAGTTATTTAAAGACTTAAATCCCAATAACTGGTTGATATAGTTCGACCACCTCATCCGCGACCGTGAGTGCAAACATGCATGCGTCACTCAGACCGAATTATTCTCAAAATAGGGTGGAAGGATGGGGCTTTCTTTCCCTCCAGCATAGCTCTTTCCAGAGAAGAGAAGACCTTTAACGTCGCAGCAAGTGATATCGCCCCTTTTGGACGTGTCTATGTGTTTTGGCAGAACGCAACCAGGTGCTTCAGATGGTCGAACTATAAACATAAAAAGCTTTACATGATCTTTGAAGCAAGCTATACCATGTATAAAAACATATGTTATCTATGTGTATTTCTGCATTCAGTGGGAGACCAGAGATTTTTAAATATTTATGTGTTAGTGCTACCATTATTGCACAGTTTGGCAATTCTTTGCAGAATGATGAGTTAACCAAAAAAGTTGTGTATATATATTTGTAAGATAAAAAATATGTAAATCAGCTTTATAATTTAATTTAGTAATAGCCTCATAATTTCTTATCTATAATTTGGGTATTCCCTCTCTCTATTCTAAAAATAATCTTTAGCTTTTCTGAACTGCACCATTTCTAGATTAATCTATATCATATAACCAGTGCTGCGCCTGCCTGCAAAATAGCTGAAGTGCCCTCCCTTTTTTTTTAATTTTTTGGTACTTTTCTGTTTTGCCGGTGCAAATCTTGCCAAGCAGATTTTATTGCCAACAATATACAGTATACACATAAAAAATTTTAACAAATGTTAGTTCTAAGAATTTTTTATTTTGAAGGCATTTAACATTTTAATATCGTTTAAAATTTTGTAAAAAGGCAATAAATAAAGATAATAAATTTGTAAAAGGACTTTAATTTAAGAATTTACTATGCTTTCACGGTTCAACATCCTGATTTGCCGGTTTGTATCAAGTGATCTCATTCCACGTAAACTATGCTACAAAAATATAATTCTCTCAGTAATTATGTACATTAATTTCAGGTTAAATCTTAATTTGGAATAGAAGTTTAGATGAATTATTTCAATTTGTAAGAATAGCGGTACTTTTCCGTTTTGCCAGCGCAAGCGATGAAGTCGCCAATAATGGTACAACCGATGCCAAACGGAATATTCTCACTGGTAACCTTTTACGCCTCATTTTCAAAACAAGTCGGCGCTTTGTTTTATCAGATTGATTGTTTCTTTCAATACTAGCATATAATTACATAGAATTTTTATCAGATAGTTCAGTTTTATGTCTAAGGCCATTTTCGGTAATTAAGTCAATCAGGATGCAATCACAGCGCTTAACCCGAAGCCGAAAATACAGAAAAGTCAAGGGTTAAATTCATCAATTCTAACGAGAATGCATTAGCGAAGTAAAGCATTGCAGTTTTACATAATTTCTGAGTAAGCTATTCGTACGAATTGAAATATTTCTTGCATTTAAACTTGTGTTCCAAATTAAGATTTAACTTGAAATTAATGTAGATAATTACTGAGAGCATTAGATTTTTGTAGAGTAGTTTACCTGAGATGAGATCGCTTGGTGTCACGAGATATAAACCGGCGAATCAGGATGTTGAACCATGAAAGCATAGTAAATTCTTAAATTAATATCTTTTTACAAATTTATTGTCTTTATTTATTGGCTTTTTATAAAATTTTAAGCAATATTAAAATTTTTATGCCTTCAAAAAAAGAATATTTATAACTAACATTTTTTAAATATTTTTTATGTGTATACCGTATGTTGTCGCCAATAAAGTCTGCTTGGCGAGATTTGCGCCGGGGAAACGGAAAAGTACCAGAATAGCTTACTCAGAAATTATGTAAAACCACAGTGATTGACTTCGCTAGTGCATTCTCATTAGAATTGATGAGTTTAACCCTTGATTTTGTCATTTCTATATTTTTGCCTTTGGGTGAGCGGTGTGATTGCATCCTAGTTGACCTAATTACCGCGAATGTACTTAGGGTATAAAATAGAACTATCTGGTAAAAATTCTATGTAATTCTATGCCAGTATTGAAAAAAAACAATCAATCTGATAAGAAATGGCTGCTGCTTGTTTTAAAAATGAGGCGTAAAAGGTTACCAGCGAGGATATTCTGTTTAGCATCAGTTGTACCATTATTGATGACTTTATCACCTGTGCCAGCAGAAAAGAAACGTGTCAATTTTTGTATATGAGAAGGAAGTTTTGAAGAAAGCGTTTGTTGAAAATTTTTTTAACAATTTATCGAGAATAATTTATTTTTCTGCATTTCATATTTACAAATTTTTCTATTAATTTCTTTTGCATCTTTATCTCTTGAAAGATTTCATTTTCAGTGGCAATCAAAGCTAGATTTATGAATCTTTCATGCGATATACTTGACCGTTAATAGGTCTTGCTAGTAGCAAAAGATCATTATCAATTTTTATAATGATCTTTTGCTACTAGCAAGACTAACAGGAACGCTAATTAGTGTTCTCAATATGGTTTTCAAGTACAGGAAGCACAAATTATTTGACGCAATTAAAGTTCAGAATATCAAATGGATCATTCATACCAGCTGTAAAAATGTCTTTCGAAGCTTCTATTTCGTCATAAATTTCTTCTACGTTAATATCTTTACTATCACCAAACTGTAACAATTTTCCCAATTTACTGCATTTTATTTTCAAATTTGCATTATCAGTTTCTGATAAATTACATAGGATACTAAAATTATCGCAGTGATTTTTCATTGCATCAAATCTTTCATTTAATGATGCCCAAGCAATATCCAAATTTCTAAAAAAGACATTTATCCTAAACTTTCTCTTCTCTTCTGAAGATTGAGGGGATTCGTCAGCATGTTCGAAATCGAAGTGACATTTCTTTTTCCTTCGCCGGACTTCTTCAACAGTTTTAAACTGTGGCTCGCCATCCACTTTTTCACTAAGTTCTTTGGCTTTCTCAAGAATACTTTTGTAATTGATGTCACTTCTATATTATTCAATGAATGTTAAGTTACTTATTACCTTTAAGGCTAGTGTAACACTCAAACCATTTTTTTGCAACTATTTGATGATAGGATTAATTCTTAAGCAAATTGTGTCAAAGTATCAAGGAACAAATAAATTTATAATTCTTGCTTTTCAAACAGATTTCGTGCTGCATGTTGCACTTCTTTTGAAAAGCATTCACCTTCGTATACAGTCAAAAGTCATTAATTCGGACACCTATAATCTGGAGCTCAAAGCTACAAACTTTCTCCGCATGCGTCGCGTTCACGCATGCGCACAGGCGTTTACGAGAGCGCGTAAGACCCTTACGGCTGCGAATATGTCTGTGCGCATGCGCGTTTAAATTGTAACGGAGTTATATGCTAAGCTAAAGTTATCTAATTCAGTTAATGTTGCAGATTGCGTTGTTCCTTAATCTTCGAATCGGATCCGGCTTATTATTTTTTGCAGACTGTTAGAGCAATTTTATAAAAAGTAAGCTTGAACTTTCGATTATGTCAAATAGAATTTCCGATATATATTTACTGCAAAGCGAAAGTATGTTTTGAAATCCGAAATCTGTTTATCAATTTCACGATGCTCTGCAGCAGAGGGAGGGGGCAGAAACGTCATTATTGGATTATGATAGATTAGAAAGATTATGTCAAATAGAATTTCCGATATATATTTACTAATATGTAATTTGTATCTACAAAGCGAAAGTATGTTTTGAGATCCTAAATCTGTTTATCAATTTCACGCGGGG